GAAGGTCATCGATGCCGCGACTGACGGCAAGGACCCTCTCTTCATCCAGTTTGAAAGCGTGCCCTCCAACTTTGTGCACATCAGTCTCTACTTGGGCACCGCACGGGTTCCCACCGAAGTGAAGCCTCTGCTGCCCATCTTTGCCGACAATTTCTTTAACACGCCCATCGAGCGCGACGGCAAGCAGGTTGACTTTGAGCAGATCGTCATGGAACTCGAGGAGGAAACCATCAGCTACGGCATCCGGTCTGCGAAGGACATGGGTGACCCCGACAGCATCACCATTCAGTTCCAGATTGAGCCCGAAAAATACGCCAGTATCATCAGCTGGATCCGTACCATGATGTTCGACAGCGTCTTTGACGTGCAGAGGCTCAAGGCTGGCGTGCAGAAGCAGCTGGCTGACATCCCCGAGCTCAAGCGTGACGGCCGCTCCATGTCCACTGAGATCAACATGGCCTATCATCTGAAGAAGGAGTCCTATGCCGTCTCGAAGCGAGCCTTGGTTCGCGCCGTCTACTTGCGCCGCGTCAAGAAGCTCCTCGAGAGCGATCCCGAATTGGTTGTCTCCTGGTTCGAGAAGATCCGCAAGTCTCTCTTCCAATTTAACAACACACGCATCCTCGTTACCGCAGATGTGAATAAGCTCGAGAACCCGGTCGCTGCGTGGGACGTCTTGAGCAGCGCTCTGCAACCTGCAGGCGAGCTTCTTCCGGTTCTCAAGGCGCACAGCCATCTCACCGAAGAGGGAGAGAACCCAGGTTCCGTCGGCGCCGTCATCGTCCCCATGACGACAGTTGATGGTTCGTACAGCGTAAGCACCTCCAAGGGCATCATCTCCTTTGAAGACCCGCGCCTCCCCGCCATCCTCGTCGCCATCGGCTACCTCGAGGCGGTCGAGGGCCCGCTCTGGTGCGCAGTCCGCGGCCAGGGCATGGCCTACGGCGTCTTCTTCAACCGCGACGTCGACAGCGGCATGATCCAGTTCCGCGTCTACCGCTCTCCCGACGTCTCCAAGGCCATCGCGCCGCCCGTGAGACAGTCCGCAAGATCGCCGAGGGCGAGGAGCCCCATTGATCGCCACCTCAAGGAGGGCGCCATCAGCCAGATTGTCGTGCACTTTGCCGACGAGCAGTCGACCATGGCCTCTGCGGCGAGCCAGAACTTTGTGCTCGGTGTCGTGCGCGGCGTGCCTCTGGACTGGCACAAGAAGATCATGAAGAGTGTGCGGGATGTCACCGATGAGCAGATCAAGGACGTCTTGAACGACCTCATCATGCCCGTGTTTGCGCCGGGGAAGAGCAACGTCATCGTCACGTGCGCACCGATTCTGGAGGAGGTAAGTTCACTTCTCCGATGGGTGAATGACAACTGAAATACTAAGCTGACATGTACTAGAATATCGAGAAGGCTCTCAAGGAGACGGGCTACAAGACACAGGTGCAGCAGCTGGCATACTTCCACGACGACTATGGTCTGAAGCCTCAGGATGGGGAAGAGGAAGAGGAAGAGTCGGAAGAGGAGGATGATGAGGAGGGCGACTACACGGATGACAGTGATGATGAGTCGGACTGATGATTTGTGTGGCACAGAAAGAAAAGACACGGGTAACGTGCTAAGCTTACCTCGTAATCATACAAATCACCTCTGCCTGTGAGCCTCATGAGCTTCGACCTGAGATGCGTCGTAAGAAATACGACTACACGAATGAGATCCGTCTTCAGAGCCGTGGTTCCCGCGCTGAGAGGATCGTTGAACAGCATTGCATTGCTCTATCTGCACATATGGTTACAAGCCCCCCTCCGGAGCTCTTCTACCCAGGCCTCGCAGACCTCTAATAGTGTACAAGTCCATCGACCAGACGCCGCACCCTTGTGAGCCGGCCACCTCCATCTTCGATTGCCAACCGCATGCACACGGCATCTCGCGCACGCTGGTGCTCTAGTTGGAGCAACCCAGTCGGAGCCTACCCTTGATCCTCCTCCTCCTGACAATTTTGCGGCCATCCTTGGTCTTCATGCGGCTGACATATCCGTGTCTGCGCTTTTGAATGAGGCGGGTGTTGCCGTTCATCGTGTTGCGAGGACCGCAGCGAATCTGAGACAGTGCTGGGTGGGCGGTGATGGCGCTCCGGGGCACGAGGTCGGCAGCCACGCCGTCGACGGTTTGCGCTGCGGTCGCTGGTGATGCGGAGGGCCCGAACGGGAGTGTGCTGGGGCGAGTGAAGACGGTCGGGCGGGCGGCAAGGATCGGTCGGACGGGTGTGAAGGAGGAGAAGGCCCTGGGCGTGGATGTCAGTCAGTTTGGTCCCCCTCAAGCCGGGACGCGGTGAGTTTGGAGCCACGGCGACGCACCTTGCCGAGATGGAGCTCGAGGGCTGCACTGCAGGAGCAGCCAACAGACGTCTGGTGACGCAGGCTATGGATTGGCGGATCATGGTGGCTGTGGTTGTGAATGCCGGTGATTTGCTGGCGACGTTGGCATTGGTGTTGAGAAACGAATGGCGCGGTCCCAGATTTTGAGATGGGAATCGGATTAGTGCACTTCAGGGGTCTGATGCACATATGCATCTAAAAGCCAAGTGCCCCACAAGCGACGGCGGGTTGGTTGTGGACCAATGTGACGCAACGGATGCTCGTGGTGCGCCAATGAACACGCTTAGACTGAGGTACGAGCTGACAGTGCTGTCGTACGTGGGCTTCTGGACAGTTTGCGCAAGGTCGAAGCTCCCACGCCGCAGCTCGCGTCTGTCTATTTCTTCCGCTCCTTCACCTTTCCTTCGTTCGTTAGTGCCATCGTATCGACACTTGCACTCTTTTCTTGCAACGATGGACTACCTCAACCGCCTCGCGCGGTTCCTGGACCGTCCGCTCTTCCCGTGGAAGAAGCTCATCCTCGGCTTCTCTGTTGGCCAATTCGTCTTCGAGTCTCTCCTGTCGCTGCGCCAGTACCAGGTCCTCCGCAAGACCAAGGCCCCTAAGGTGCTCGAGAATGAGATCTCCCAAGAGACCTTTGACAAGAGCCAGGCATATGGCCGCGCCAAGCAGAAGTACGAGCTCATCAACGGCCTCTGGGGCCAGATTCAGAACATTGCCTTTATCCAACTCGACGTCCTCCCGAAACTCTGGTCCTGGACCGGCGACCTGCTCCTCAAGTTTGCGCCTGCCCGCTTCACTGGTGAAATATCGCACTCGATCGTCTTCGTCCTGACCTTTGTCCTCGTTCAACAAGCTCTGTCTCTGCCCAGCTCGATCTACTACAACTTTGTCCTCGAGGAGAAGTTTGGTTTCAACAAGCAGACGCCCAAGCTCTTCGTCACGGATATGCTCAAGTCGAACATGCTCACCTTCATTCTCGCCCCGCCCATCCTCGCCGGTTTCCTCTCCATCATCAAGAAGACGGGCAACCAGTTCTTCTTCTACCTCTGGGCGTTCGCTGCCGGTCTCCAGGTCTTCATGATCACCATCTACCCCATCGCCATTCTGCCCCTCTTCAACAAGCTGTCCCCTCTCGACGAGGGCGAGCTCAAGACCAACGTCGAGGCCCTCGCCAAGAAGCTGAACTTTCCCCTCCACGAGCTGTACGTCATTGACGGCAGCAAGCGCAGCGCCCACAGCAACGCCTACTTCTTCGGACTGCCCTGGAAGAAGCACATTGTCATCTACGATACCCTCATCGAGAAGAGCGAGACCCAGGAGGTCGTCGCCGTCCTGGCGCACGAGCTCGGCCACTGGAGCCTCGGCCACACCACTCGCCTCTTCGGCATCTCACAGGTTTGCTCCCTCCCTCTTTCTCTCTCGACAGCCCATGACTGACCATTCCAGGCGCACTTCCTCTACATCTTCACCCCTCTTTCTCCGTCTTCATCAAATAACCACTCTCTCTACGCCCGACTTTGGCTTCCCTCCTCGACCCCCCCATCATCATCGGCCTTCATCCTCTTTTTCCGACGCCCTGTCGCCCCATGGA